TAGAACTCAAGCAAGCTGCAGAATTGTCCCACACTAAAGCATCCATGCAATAGGACAAAAAAAACAGCACTCGCACATTAAAGGAAACAACTGACGACTTAATTAACATTTCATTGTTCCACAAATTAATATCTCAAATGACACTTCCCCACACCATTGCCCACAGACATAGTTTTTGTTACAAACGGGCGCCTATTGCTATATATACTAAATGCGGAAGGGTTTGGGGAGTTTTTTCTGTTTGTTTTAAGGCTAAACACAACAGACTAAACATGTTGACAATGAATACAGAGAAGAACGTAAACTAAAATGACAGCTACCATCAGAGATCATCTTTTTGAAAAACTAGCAGTAATTATGGTGCCATAAACAAGTTGAATTTAGAGCAGCTTGGGCAGAGCAACCCTTCAAGGGGAAAGCTTTGAACAAACAATATCCAGACACAGATGGTACTGAAGAAATAATACAAATATCACAGATACATATTTGTGTTATTAAGTCAATATGCAGAGCAGTGTTGACTCCTATATTGCTCTGGCACCATCCATCTAGAATATGTAAATGTTCATTTATACTGTACAGATTTTTCCACAAGGATCACACTCCACTTTATGATTTCACCACTCGATCTACTGGCTCCTTCAATCTACATAACAAAGTGGTATTTTGTTACGCACCCCCCCGTACTCCCATCCAAACCACATCGTGCAAAACCCTGGACAAATACAAATGTTCTAAAATAAGACAGCGCCTCTCAGGCTAAGCAGCTACTTTTATACTGATCCTGCGAGATTCACAGGCCCCTTTCTTCCCATACCCTGCGCTCGGCTTCCCCTGGGTAGAGACGAGCGTGCTGCTTGCTCCTCGCGCAAACAAAGGGGGCTAGGAACAGAAAACCTGGAATTCCTTGGCAGGAGAAGCAGCCATGAGCCGGGGGAGGGGGGGGGGGAGAGACAGTCTCCCCGCCCGGCACAGGAGCTCAGTCTGCTACACCCTGCCCGTCCCAGAGCCCAGACAAAGCTCTGCAGGGAGGGACAGCGAGACACTCCGCCAGCCACCCACCCACCCTAGGCCTGAGGGGCGCGTGTGGCGGCGGAGCAGCTTAAAGCCCCGCGGGGAGCTGCCCCGCTGGGGGAGGGGAGCTTGAGCCGGGCACCGGCTCTCCGGTTGTCCGCGCCCCCCCCCCCGCCCCGCCCCGCCCCGGGCGAGCGCCCCCACCCCCCCAGCTCAGGCGGCAGCAGGGAACAATGGGGCCCCCGGCGCCCCCTCCCGGAGCCAGCCCGGCCTGCGCTGGGGAGGTGACTCCCGGGCTCCCTCCCGAGGGGAGGTTGGGCCGGCGGGCGCCGCCTAGGCCGCGGGGTCTGGGGCCTGCCGTGCGGGCCGCGCCGGGGACACTCACCGCTGCAGCACCAGGAGGAGGGCGAGCCCTGCGGGAACCGGGCCGAGGCGGGCGCGATGCAGACGCTGGAGCCGAGGTGCGGGCACTCCATAGCACAGGCGGGCGGCTCCTCACAGCAACTGCGCCCCACTCACAACAGCCATCTTAGAGCCAGCGCCGCGATCCGCCCGCCAGGCCTTCCGCGCCGCCCTCCCGTCCGCGCGCCGCGATCCGCCCGCCGGGCCTTCCGCGCCACCCTCCCGTCCGCCCTGCCACGATCCGCCCGCCGAGCCTTCCGCGCCGCCCTCCCGTCCGCGCGCCGCGATCCGCCCGCCGGGCCTCCCGCGCCGCCCTCCCGTCCGCCCTGCCGCGATCCGTCCGCCGGGCCTTGCGCCCCTCCCTCCCGTCCGCGATCCGCCCCCCTGGGCCCTGCGCCCCACCCAACCGCCCTCCCGCGATCCGCCCGCCGGACCTTCCGCGCCGCCCTCCCGTCCGCTCTGGCGCGATCCGCCCGCCGGGCCTTCCGCGCCGCTCTCCCGTCCGGACAGGCTTTGGGGAGGGGCTTCTTCCAAGCTCCGCCCAGATTCTTTTAACAGTGGGGGACAGCTGCCCACACGGGGGCGGGAGTAGGGTTGCAAGGTGTCCGTTCTCCACTAGAAAGTCCAGTCGAAAAGGGAACCTGGCAGCATCCGGTCAGCTCTAATGACCGGACACTAAAAGCCTGGGTGCTGTGGGCGGAGGGAAGTGGCAGCCCGTTCGTTGCCCGGCCCTGAAGCGGCGGCTCCGGCAGCAGCATGCATGCAGCAGCTCGGGCCACGGGCAGCCCCTTTGAGGAGGGTTCACAAGCCTGCAGAAGAGGACAGAGTGCAGGAGCCCCGGCAAGCAGCGCAAGGGGCTCTCAGCGGGCGTGGACTGTTTCCCAGGAGGGAAGAAACACGAGCTGCCCTGCCAGCCAGTACTTCCCCGGCCACCCTCTCAGGCACACCTGGCTCACCGCTGTGGGAGGTGTGAGCCAAGCGATGGTTTCAGAGGTGCTGGTACAGGCTCTGGTGTGTATCAGCTGTTCCCCGGCCTGGCTTGTCATAGAGTCATCATCATGGTTTAGGGCCAGAAGGGCCCATCAGATCATCTAGTCTGACCTCTATATCACAAGCCACTAAGCCCAGGAGCACCTGCACATTAAACCCAACAACCAAAATTAGTCCAAAATATTACAGCCCACTATTATGTGCCACAGGCAGAGAGTAGGTGGGACCGAGGTACCCCCATGCCCAAGGACAGTACAATGGCAGGGAAACAAGTAAAAGAGGGAGACCTAGATATTCTCAGCAAGTGTACTGCATGCCCATGCTGCAGAGGAAGATGAAAAATCCTCAAGGACTCTGCCAATCTGCGCTGGGGGGAAATTCCTTCTCAACCCAACATAGAATCATAGGACTAGAAGGGACCTTGAGAGGTCATCTAGTCCAGTTCCCTGCACTCATGGCAAGACTAAGTATTATCTGGACCAGTGGTGGGCAAGGCTGCATGCGGCCCACCAGGGTAATCTGATTGCAGGCCGCAAGACATTTTGCTGACACTGACCATCCGCAGGCCTGGCTCCCCTCAGCTCCCTGTGGCTGCGGTTCGCTGTTCCCGGCCAATGAGAGTGGCAGGCCACAGGGACATGCTGGCCGCCGCTTTCCACAGTGCCCATTGGCCGGGAACGGCGAAACGCAGCCACTGGGAGCTGTGGGGAGCTATGCCTGCGGAGGGTCAACATCAGCAAAATGTCTTGCAGCCCACAATCAGATTACCCTGATGGGCCGCATGTTGCCCACCACTGATCTAGACCATTCCTGACAGGTGTTTGTCTAACCTGCTCTTAAAAGTCTCCAATAATGGAGATTCCACAACCTCCCTAGGCAATTTATTTCAATGCTTAACAATCCTGACAGGAAGTTTTTCCTAATGTCCAATCTAAAATTCCCTTGCTGCAATTTAACTCCATTGTCCTATCCTCAGAGGTTAAGAAAAAAAAAATGTCTCCCTCCTCCTTGTAACAACATATGGCAATCAGTTAGACCCTCATCATGTGAGCAAGAACCAGCCAGCCAAGCACCTGAAGGAGAGCATGCTCTGTACCACCTGAGCCCTGGCTCACCCCACCCACCTCTGTAGTGGCCATCCAAAATGATGAAGCATGAGCTTTAGAAACATGAGACAAACCAGAAGCGAGTCCAAGGACTGTTGAGCTTTTTCCTCTACCATCACAAGCAACCCGTCATACAACTGGACTCAGAAATTTGTCTAGCTCTCTGTTTCTTCCAACATAGGTAAATTGTAGTATTGACAGTCCTGAATATAGAACACAGCTCTTGTTTTGCAGGTGTAATTAGTGCTATATATTAACAACATGGGTCACTTTTTTAGATCAATGGGAGAAAGGAAGTAGATGCCTTGGCATAAAGACCTTCACTTGGTTATATGGTAGGGAGCTGTCACTGTCTCCTTGCATGCAGAGGGACGTAGCTGTCAAATGACTGATATACAGGAGCCTAGGAGATGGAGTTCAGCCAGTATCAAGCTGAGGAGACCTCATGGTGAAATAGGTTGTTGTACAGTATCCAGCCCTAACAGATTTCAGCTGGATACAATACAATGGTGGAGGGTGTGACTGCTGATGGGACCAGGGAAGCTTTAAGGAAAGGGATGAGGCACATCAGAGTATGAAAAGAAAGAAGTAAATAAGAATACGATTTTTTTTAATCAAAATTGTATTTTTTAACTTGATCTCATTCTCTGAAATGGCTGACCTCTTTTTGTTGAAGCTTTCCAAAAAATTCAGCCTGAAAATGTTCAGCCCAAATGGTTAGAGTTTGGCAAAGTTATAAGCCACTAAAAACAGGGTCTTATAAGGGACAGTATTGGGTAACCTTAACTACCAAATTAACCTGAAGTAGTAGGCCCCGTCCAGTATTAGGTGGTATCATCTTGGTCTTTAAGGTCCACGTGCACTCAGCCCCCATGCATTTACTATAGCTCTGGACATTTAAAAGGAAGCGTGAAGCAGACTAAATGAAATTTGTATGTGGTGAGACAGAAGTTATTCAAGCCATCTCTTATTTATGATGGTACAGCCCATGGTGCTTGCTTACTCTAAGAACTAATCACAGGAGTATGTCTTGTGAATAGTTTTCTATTTTAGAAAAAGTGCAGTGTGTTAATTTACATTAGAGATAAGAAGGTGATGCTTCGTCTGTACCTTCTGGGGCCTGTTCTCTTGCTGCAAATATATTTACCTTACACTTTGAAGAAAAACAGTTACTTGACTTAGAATTTGGCTTCTTTAAATAAACTTCCTGCTTCTGTAACATAAAGGTCACAATTAAGTGATAAGAAATAGTGCAGGTAGGCAGACAACATAGAAGCCCATGTTTTAATGATTCAGCAATCTGACAGCTTATATTATATCAATACAAGTGTACTACAGAAAAAAACCCAGTAGACTTTCTACAGCAGTGGTTCCCAAACTTGTTCCGCCGCTTGTGAAAGCCCCTGGCAGGCCGGGCCGGTTTGTTTACCTGCTGCATCCGCAGGTTCGGCCGATCGCAGCTCCCAGTGGCCGCGGTTCGCTGCTCCAGGCCAATGGGAGCTCCTGGAAGCTGCACGGGCTGAGGGACATACTGGCCACCGCTTCCAGCAGCTCCCGTTGGCCTGGAGCAGCGAACCGCGGCCACTGGGAGCTGCGATCGGCCCAACCCGCGGACGCGGCAGGTGAACAAACCAGCCTGGCCCGCCAGGGGCTTTCCCTGCACAAGCAGCGGAACAAGTTTGGGAACCACTGTTCTACAGTAACATGCAATGCTGAGCATGGTAATAATGGGGGCAGTAAAGAGCAGAAGATTGCCTGTTGCATTCCAGTACTTCTGAGCCTTGCATTCCTTTGCTCTCTCTCTCATTTTTTGGCTGCATTCTGCATTGCACATGGACAATTGGCACAGGTACAGCAGGTGACTTAAGTGTTACAGCACCATTTAATAATGCAGATGATTTTGGAACTAACATCTCAGTAAAGATTCTCTGAGGAGGAGTTTGAAAAGCATCTAATACAATGCACTACTGAGCCACAAGAAGTCTTGGGAGAACATTGTCTTGCTGTCCCACACAAGTAACTCTAATTAACATTAATGGAAATTCTGCATGTGCCTGAAGGGGGGAGAACAGACTCACTAAATGCACATATGGTCCAGTTGCCCACAACATCATAAACAATTTAGACTAAGCTTAGTGGAGTTATTCTTCATTTCCAGCTGTGTAGCTAAAAGCAGGATTTAGTTCAGAGATACAGTATTTTGAGTTAAGTTACCACTAGTGTATCCTGACACTAAGCTATGGAGTTTCGTACACATGTCCCTCAAATGGGATAAGAACTCTCCCATACACTGGACCGGATGAATAGGATGTACAAATCCCAGTATGCATTTTATAGGTTCTTTAGAAAGTATAAACAATATTTCATATAACAAAACCATATGATACAAATCAAGGAATTCACTGCATTAATCCAAGGAAATAAGAAGGCTTCTCTTTCTGGTTAGTACATTTCTGCATTAGCTGGGGGGTTATTTTGCTTCTTTTCTTTGGTTGAATATTTCTTCACTCTGGACAATTAAGAGAGAGAGAGATTAAATTAGCACAACAGTTCCATTGTAGGTGCATTCTCTTTTCCAAAAAATGCATATGTTTAACACTGTCCCCTATTTGTCACATTGTTTTATACAAGCCAACAGAAACCTTTACTGGGCCTATCCAGCTCCCCTTGAAATCAAGATGGGTTGTCATTAAGTTTGGCCTGCTCCACCTCCTATAACAAGTATGTGAGGCTAAGAATGTTATGCCAGTAGCACACTCAGGAGTCAGTTAATGGAGATGTTTACAGGTAAAATAAATACACTGGGGATGAATGTGGGCTAAAGATATAAAGCTGCTGCAAAACTCTTGTTTTTCCAGCTTCTTCTATATTTTATTTCGAAGCACCAAAACAAAGTAAATTAAGTCTGATTTATTTTAAAAAAGCAAGCATGAATGTGGATCTTCGTACGAATCAAAGCAGCTTTGCTTGAACTCTAGCAATTTATTAGTTCCAATTTTCCTTGTTTCAACTGGTTTGCTTCACAAGTAGAAACATATAGGAGCAAGAAATACCACCTCAGGTCTACCCATTCCCATAGACTGTGTAGCCTAATGAATTAAAGACAGATCCTCAATGACACTTAGCCTGCTAACTTCCACTGAAATTCATTTTATAATACATGTGCAAGTCTCCCTGAGTGTGGAAACAGAGATTGAGCTTGAGCCACGACCCACCTCCAAAGTGAAGGTGAGTTTTTGGTTAGCTTTTATCCCATTGGAGAAAAATCACTGGATTTACAATATCTCATACAATAGCCAGAGTCCCAAACACCTGTATTGAATGGAATGCATAGTCTTACATTTTCCGAAGGAAAATGGCGAGTGCAGATACCAAGATAACTGCTGTAGTACATCCCACAGTGATTCCAAGCACCAAGCCTGCAGGAAAATCAGTGGATGGTTAACTGGAGAGAATAGGTGTCTTGTGTCTTTACATTTCATTTCACCGATGACAGAGACAGAACAGAAGACTGAATGTCTGAGAAAGCAACCGGACTGTGTTGGTTCCCACTGCCGCTTGTGCACCAGTAGCTTCAGGGCACAGCTGGCACCAGTGCCACTGCTCCACAAATGACTTTGTCTTGTCTTACTTCTGCTGATGACAGACGTGGCCCTTCTATATCTGATTCCTCCAGGATATTGGATACACCTTCTTTGATACCCTATTGCACATCAGGTGCCCTGTCTGGCAGTAGCTGAACAGTACAAGAACGGTCACCTATCAATATACCCCATGGAAAGGCCGTCAGTGCTGAGCCGTAAGCCCAGAAATTTTGACTTGTGCTAGAATGGGCAGCCATGGTATTAACAGGCAGCAGCAACAAGGAAGATATTCATGTTCTCGAACCTAAGGATGGGATTGGTCCCCTCCATTGCCCTGGTAAAGGGGAACACCACCACCACAGCATGCTTCCCTCCCTCTGAGAGCCCATCAGCCAGGACAGAACATGGAGCTGGGGCTCAGTGAGAGGGAGCGTGTCAGGGTTCCTTCCCCACTCTGAACTCTAGGGTACAGATGTGGGGACCCGCATGAAAGACCCCCTACGCTTATTCTTACCAGCTTAGGTTAAAAACTTCCCCAAGGTACAAACTTTGCCTTGTCCTTGAACAGTATGCTGCCACCACCAAGCGTTTTAAGCAAAGAACAGGGAAAGAGCCCACTTGGAGACGTCTTCCCCCAAAATATCCCCCCAAGCCCTAAACACGCCCTTTCCTGGGGAGGCTTGAGAATAATATCCTAACCAATTTGTTACAAAATCATCAAAGACCCAAACCCCTGGATCTTGGAACAATGGAAAAATCAGTCAGGTTCTTAAAAGAAGGATTTTATTAAAAAAAAAAAGAAAGGTAAAAATCATCTCTGTAAAATCAGGATGCAAAATACTTTACACAGTATTCAGATTCAAAACACAGAGGATCCCCCTCTGGGCAAAACCTTAAAGTTACAGAAAACAGGAATAAACCTCCCTCTTGACACAGGGAAAATTTACATAAAACAAAAGAAACTAATCTGCCTTGCCTGGCTTACATATACTGGTTGCAATATTGGAGACTTGGATTAGGATGGGTTGGAGAAGATGGATTTCTGTCTGGCCTCTCTCAGTCCCAAGAGAGAACAAACACATAAACGAAGAGCACAAAACAAAAGCCTTCCTCTCCCCCCATATTTGAAAGTATCTGGTCTCCTTATTGGTCCTTTGAGTCAGGTGCCAGCCAGGTTAGCTGAGCTTCTTAACCCTTTACAGGTAACAAGATTTGCCTCTGGCCAGGAGGGATTTTATAGCACTGTATACAGAAAGGTGGTTACCCTTCCCTTTATATTTATGACAGAGCATAGCCAGGGAGCAGCCATGGACTGCAGCATGTTCTCCTCAGGACCTGGTGTGTTTCTGATAGAGTAATAGATTGAATAGGGTGGCAGATGAGAAAGGGAGTTACTACTGCTGGAGATGGGTCTAGCATGCAGCTTGTAGCGGGGAAAAGGGAGAGAATGGCCCATGGCAGCAAAGATCTTATGGAAGCCATGTGGCCCTGGTGTAGACCGGACCTTAGAAAGTAGGCCAGAAAGAAAGAACATCCCCTGGAATGTACAGGGGGCATATAGGAGGGATGCTCCACTTTTCCAACAGATCCTCAGATTCCATGAGATTTGCAGACTTCCCTCTCCCCACTCCATGAGGCTGCGAATCCCTCCACTCAGAAGGAGAATGTGGTTCCACCTTTTCCCCCACCAAGGTTTGACTTTAAGATGGGAACATCAGAGCATCAAGTATTATCCAACAAGAGGCAAATCCTCCCCCTGACTCCACAGCTGTGAAGATGCCCATAGCACTGGAAGCAATGGGGTGGGATACCAGAGGGATGCGTGGGGAGTATGATCACCCTGCAGAGCACAGCAGTTCTGCAAAGGGGCCCTGCCTGGTAGTGGACCAGTCAGCAAGGGTGAGGATCAACCAGGGAGCAGGTTGTCTGTGGGGGACACAGCAGCCTGGGTGAGAGGATTCCTCCCTTTTGGGGGCTGAGCAGAGGGCTTACCCCTAAGCATATCAGATTAAATATCCTGCACCCCTGAAATAGTGCTTCTCTTTGGATTTCTCTGCAACCCCTCAACTCCCTTGAGAATGGTGCCCCTATCTCAGCTCCCCAAGACCTCAGCTCTGGATCCCAGCATGATTCTCTTGGTTCTGCATATTCCCATGAGCGCATACAGCAGTTCAGCATCAAACAGTATACGAAGCAGAAAGTTGGAAGGATCAGAACAGACGACACAAAAGATCTGCATTAGCATATCCCAAAGCCCAGTGGTCAGGACACTCACCTGAAGGTGGCAGATCCCCATTCAAATCCAGTTTCCCATTCAGGCAGAGGCGGACTTAAACTGACGGTCTCCCACACCCTGGATGAGTACCCTAACTAGGCTAAAGTTTATAAGGGAGCTCCTCCTTCCCCACCCCCTGCCCACAGGCCATTTTGTTTTAGCTCTGCAAGCCACTTAAGAGGTTGACTGTCTAACTTCCCCCAGTTAGTTGACCACCACCAGAGCTAGCCTGCAGTCTGGTCTTGGCACCTATCTCTGAGAAGAACGGGGCTTAACACACACCCTTCTGGTCAGCATCTCCCATTGGGTACCTTAGGCGGCTCCCACTCTAGCATGCTGGCTTTGTGGATCACTCTCAGGTGCCTAGCTCTTTCCATTCACTGAGGCGCCTAACTTAGGCTTTGTGGATTGCAATGTTGTTTCTCTGATTTTCTAGGTGCCCTGATACTCAGCGTTCCAATGCCTACGTCCCTTCCTGGATCTGAGCCAAACCAACCAGGCAAATGGGTCAAGTGTTTTTAAATGGCCTTTGTTAATTTAGTGGGATGATATTTATGATTAATATTTATAAATTTTAAGCTGCATCTGTCCCTTCAATGTAATGTACTTTCAATTAAGTTGCTCCTCTGGCACAGTGGGAAAGTAATAGGTGACCATTAGAGCTTACTAAAATGATTGGGTACCATTGCAATTCATTACTTTTAGAATAAAGTAATCCAAGTAATAACTGCTTCAGAGAGCATTGACTGGTGAATTACTATTAAATAAAAAGGTGTCATCTTACCTACATCAGGCCCTTCATCTTCCTTTCCTGTTTGGTCACACGCAGGAGCTAAAAGCACATACATTACCACACATTGGTCTTCGGTATTATGATAATGAATTCAGTGTTATTTTTAGCTTCCTGTTTCATTGCAAACCCAATTCAGTAAAGCACTTAACTACACATGCTTAACTTTACTCATTTGCTTATGTACTTTCCTGAATTGTGGTGCTTATGAATAAAACAGAAAAGCTAAAGAAGTTTCTTCATTAGCTCGAATGCAGCCAGACTGATACCTTGTAGAGCAGCCTCTAGCGGTCAAGATAAGTTACAAACGCTTGAGCAAGTTTGATTCCATCCAGCAGAGAGCAGTGGTGCACACACAAGTTATCAAATACATGAAATTGCAAAAGGGCAATTTTAATGTCACACAATGGGTATGCTTGTAATGCAATCTCTTTTTCTATTGAAAAATATCCACTTTGAGTGTTTGGAAGAGGGAAGTGTTACAAGTGACTTGCCAATGGAGGAATAAAATGTGGATTTCTGGGGAGAATCTGACTAGGAAGGTTAGCTGTACAGGATCTCTGGAATGCTGATGACAAGGAATTCAGATTAAAATCATCCTTTATGTTTTATACAAATAATATACATGAAACTTCTGTATATATATCATCTGATTGAGAGCTGGATCCTACCATCCTAATTCAGACTGTAAGGTAACAATTTGAAAGCAACAGTCTAATTAAAATTATGGCTAAAGAAATCCTATGGGAGCTATGCACAGGCTGCATGTCTCTTTAGAATGTGGCCCTAAGAATCAGTGCTATAGCATAAAAACCATCTGCTGAGCATAGCAGAACACAACTCGTATCATAGTTAAAGACCTATGCATAATGTTCTGCTATAGAATATGTGCAGACAGCTACCATGGACTTCAACAGGAGCCATCCATGAATATTTGAGGCCAGAATTTGGCCATAACTTGGTAGCACTCTGCATACTCAGAGTATTTATACTAAAAGAAGTAAAATACACAAAGGTCAGCTTCATGATTGTTTATGTCAGTTGTGTTTTTCAGAAATAAGAGAGAGACAGACAGACAGACAGACACTAAGTCTGTGAAAAGCACAGGCAACTTTGGCAATAAAAAGGATATGGGGGATAAGCAGCAGCCACACCGACAAGTCACCTTTTGTCATTAGTATTATTTATTGCTTAGGCAGTTCTGAGAATGGCCACCTGAGGTCAGTCAAAGTGTTGGCTCTCTAATACTTACATACAGAACAAATATTAGAAAGACCTTAGGGTACGTCTACAGTACGAAATTATTTTGAAATTATTCTATTCGAATTTTCGGAAACTATTTTATACATTCAGTCTTCTGTGTCCCCACTAAAGCGCGGAATTCGGTGGATTGCATCCACAGTACCAAGGCTAGCATCGAATGTCAGAGCAGTGCACTGTGGGTAGCTTTCCCGCAGTCCCTGCTGCCCATTGGAATTCTGGGTTAAGCTCCCAGTGCATGATGGGGCAAAAACATTCTCTTGGGTGTTTCTCGGTGTGTGTCGTCAGAAAGCTACGGCAGACAATCGTTTCGCACCTTTTTGGCATGCAGACGCCATGCTGCTTTCAGCAGACGGTGCACCGCTGCTCTCCTGCTACTATGAATCCACCTCTCCAACTCAGCTCTTCCCAGCCATCGTGAACCGAGCAGCACAGCTTCTGCCGCCAACTCTGCTCTCCCACTATTGCCATGCTTCCGAGCTTCTCCATGTTGTCTGTCCTGGGCTCCCACCTCCGTGAAAGCCACTGAAGACAACCATTTTCAGCTGTTGTTCAGCTACAGTGAACCGAACAGCACAGCTTCCGCCGCCAACTCTGCTCTCCCGCTATTGCCACGCTTCCGAGCTTCTCCATGTTGTCTGTCCTGGGCTCCCACCTCCATGAAAGCCACAGAAGACACCATTTTCAGCCTTTGTTCGGCTACAACAAACAAAGTACAGCTTCCGCTGCCACTCTGCTCTCCTACGTTTCGCACCCTTTTTCCAGGATTACCCATTCAGCCGCCATAGCCAAGGAGCCCGATCAGATCTCCACTGCAGTTTTGACCATTGTAAATACCTCGCGCATTATCCAACAGTATGTGCAGTACCTGCAAAACTGGGCGAGGAAGCGACAACAGCGCAATTACTATACTGATGAGGACATGGACACAGAGAGCACGGCATGTGGCGATCGGGAGATCATGGTGCTGTTGGGCCAGGTTCATGCCGTGGAACGCCGATTCTGGGCCCGGGAAACAAGCACAGACTGGTGGGACCACATAGTGTTGCAGGTATGGGATGATTCCCAGTGGCTGAGAAACTTTCGTATGCGTAAGGCCACTTTCATGGAACTTTGTGACTTCTGTTCCCTGCCCTGAAGCGCAAAGACACCAAAATGAGAGTAGCCCTCACAGTTGAGAAGCGAGTGGCCATAGCCCTGTGGAACCTTGCAAAGCTCGACAGCTACCGGTCAGTCGGGAATCAGTTTGGAGTGGGGAAATCTACTGTGGGGGCTGCTGTGCTGCAAGTAGCCAATGCAATCATTGACCAGCTGCTGTCCAGGGTAGTGACTTTGGGAAATGTGCAGACCATTGTGGATGGCTTTAATGTGCTGGGGTTCCCTAACTGCGGTGGGGCGATAGACAGAATGCATATCCCTATCTTGGCCCCGGAACACTGGGGCGGCCAGTACATAAACCGCAAAGGGTACTTTTCCATGGTGCTGCAAGCACTGGTGGATCACAAGGGACGTTTCACCGACATCAACGTGGGATGGCCGGGAAAGGTGCATGATGCTTGCAACTTCAGGAACTCTGGTCTGTTTGAACAGCTGCAGGAAGGAACTTACTTCCCAGACCAGAAAATTACTGTTAGGGATGTTGAAATGCCTATAGTTATCCTCGAGGACCCAGCCTACCCCTTAATGCCATGGCTCATGAAGCGTACACAGGCAGCCTGGACAGTAGTAAGGAGCAGTTCAGCTATAGGCTAACAAGTGCAGAACGGTGGTAGAATGAGCGTTTGGACGTTTGAAAGCGCGCCGGCGCAGTTTACTGACTCGGTTAGATCTCAGCACAACCAATATTCCAATTGTAATTGCTGCTTGTTGTGTGCTCCACAATATCTGTGAGAGTAAGGGGGAGACATTTATGGCGGGGTGGGAGGTTGAGGCAACTCGCCTGGTAGCCATTTTCTCACAGCCAGACAACAGGGCAATTAGAGAGCGCAGCAGGGCGTGCTGCACATCAGAGAAGTTTTGAAAGCCAGTTTCATGACTGGCCAGGGTACGGTGTGAGAGTTGTGTTTGTTTCTCTTAAAGTTACCCGCCTCCTATATATATATGAAAGGAAATAAAGTCACAATTGTTTAAAAACCGTTCTTTATTATTTGTTGCACAAAACATTGAGAGAAATCAGAAGCTAGACTGGGGAGGGGCGGGTATTGGGTTAGGGGGGTGGAGGAGGAGGGAAGAACAAGTCCAGAAACCAAATCAAAATTTAGGATATGCCAGCTTTCTGCTGCTTGTGCAATCCTCTGGGGTTGACTGTGCGGCTCCCCGTAGCCTCCCCTACCCCTCCACCCCGTGTTCTTGGGCGTCTGGGTGAGGAGGCTATGGAACTTGGGGAGGAGGGAGGGCGGTTATTCAGGGGCTGCAGCAGCAGTCTGTGGTCTTGCTGCCTTTCCCACATTAGATCCACCATACAGCGGAGCATGTCAGTTTGCTCCCCCATGAGCTTGACCATACCATTCTGCCTGCTCTCATTGCGCACGTCCCTCCTCTCTTCTTATTCATGTAACGCTTTACGCGACTCCACAATTGTTTGCCTCCACGCATTCAGCTGGGCCCTATCAGTGCGGGAGGACTGCATGAGCTCGGCAAACATGTTGTCCCGAGTTCATTTTTTCCTCCTTCAAACCTGGACCAGCCTCTGGGACAGAGTAGATAGGGGCCGCATTGAAACATTTGCGCCTGCTGCAGGAGGAGAAAAAGGAGGGCAGTATTTTAAAAGATATTTTAGAGAACAAGTATTTTAGAGAACAAAGGGGACCCTGTTTCTCAGTAAAACAGGCAATTCATAGTACATAGCACATGTTCTTTCTGTACAAGGTCTCATTTTGCCTCTTATACTGAAGTGCCTGCCACTTTGGTCTGAGTAAGCCATCACATGCGGCCAGGCAACAGAATTCAGCTTGCAGGCAGCCTGCGGGCTCTCTGGGATGATTGCTTCACACAACACCCCCACACACACACACACACCGATGAGGCTCTGAGCAGGGATGAGCCCTTTAAACTAAACGCGAACAGCCCAGCGTGGCTCCGATGAGGCTCTGAGCAAGGATGAGCCCTTTAAACTAAATGTGAATAGGCCAGCATGGCTGGGTTTCCTCCCCACCACGTGGCTCCGATCAAGCTTTCACTCACCAGAAGTGCCTTCTCCAGGGTCATGGTCCAGGAGCATGCTTTGGGAGTAGGGGGAGGCTATTGGCTCCAGCGTTAAGAATAGTTCCTGGCTACGGGGGAAAACAGATTCCCCACTTGCCACCTGTGCACTGTCCTCCTCCTCCTCCTCCTCCTCTTCGTCCTCCAAAAACTCATCCTCCTCACTCCGTGCTACTCCTCCCTTGCAGGTGTCCATGGACAGTGGTGGGGTAGTGGTGTCGTCACCCCACATAATTGCATGCAGCTCATGGTAAAAGCGGCATATATGGGGCTGTGACCCAGAGTGCCCATTCACCTTCCTGGCTTTTTGGTACGCTTGCCTGAGCTCCTTGATTTTTGTATGACACTGTTCTGTGACCCTGGAGACTTTAGCATACATATTTGCATTCCTTTTTTTGGAACGTAGTTCTGCCATAACAGATTTGTCTCTCCAACATGCAATGAGATCCAGTACCTCCTGTTTGGACCACGCTGGAGCTCATCTGCGAATCCAGGACTGTGTGGTCTCTTGAGATGGTAGGCTCTGCATAGTTGCCTATGATGGTGGACTCTGCAGATGGTCACCTGTGCTGATGGTGACCAAACAGGAAATTCAAAAGTTCCCGGGGCTTTTACTGCCTACCTGGCTAGTGCATCGGAGTTCAGAGTGTTGTCTAGAGCGGTCACAAGGGAGCATTCTGGGATAGCTCCCAGAGGCCAATATCGTCGAATTGCGTCCACAGTACCTGTAACCCGGAACTGCGATCTCGATTTTAGCGCTACTCCACTTGCCGAGGTGGAGTACAGAAATCGGAGTGAAGAGCCCTTTAAATCGAAAAAACTGGTTTGGTCGTGTAGACGGAACCAGTTTTATTTGGCGGTAACTCGGCTAATTCCGAAATAACCGTGTACTGTAGACCAGGCCTTACGGTTGTAAAGTCAGGCACTCAAAAAAAGTTAATTCAGACCCCCGTGCCCAAGCATTATAATACATTTTTAATTAAATGATCTCATGCCATATTCCACAGGAGTCCTGCCTCATTCAGTGCACAGGATGAAAGTTACTCAATGAATCAAGATTGTGTACGGAATTGTGCTGTTGTCTGTTAAGACTATTGGCCTCGTTGCTGTAGAAGTTGGAAGGCAGGGGACTGCAGCAAGAAAAAGGAGGGTCTCCTGGTTAAGGCAGTTGAATGCTGCCCTAGAGAAGTGGATTCTACTCCTGCCTCTGGCACAGATTTCTATGTGATACTGGGCAAGTCATGTAAACCAAGTTTTTATAGATGGCCACTAAGTGTGTTCTTTTTTAAAGATGCCCAACTTGAGATACCTGGGTCTGATTTGCAGAAGTGCCAAGCACCCACAGTTGCAGCTGAAGTCAATAGCAGCTGTTCTCTGAACATATAGTGATAAATATTCTGAAAAAATCAGGCTCTAGGCATCTCAAGCAGCATCCAAAATTAGAAGATAGTTGACAATTTTGGCCTTCATCTCTCTGTGCCTCAGTTTCCCATCTGTACAATGGGGAGAATACCTTTCTACCTCACAGGGTCTGTGTGTGTTAAGGTAAGTTTATTGATATTTGTGAAGCATTCAGATACGACAGAGAATAGTATAATTAAAAAAACATGATGAAATTAATTCTTTGCCTCAGGTCACCATCCCATGCTGCACTGACTCAACACCTGGCTTGGACAATTTCAACTAAACACTTAAAGTTTGTCCAAGTTATCAGTACCTGGAAATGGGGTTTTATAATGGAACATATTAGGCAACCTTAGCTATTGGCAGTGCTACCAGCTCTGCCTACAGCAAGTCACATCTAATCAGGACAGTGGGTAATGGACCTTTCGATGCCCACATCTCTATGTGAAAGTACCATAGAGTGCACTGTACATACCCTGAGCACACTTCTGGCAACATGTTGTCTCATTAACAAATCTATTTCCATTTCCTGCACAGCCTCCATAAATGAAAGTCCTACACTTCTTCAGCGCATGATCAAAATACCACAACAAGTAGGTTCCTTTACAATGTCCAAGATCCTTCTCCAAGAGGCAAACACGGTCTGTATGAAGAACAAAAGGTTAAAATCAGAACATTGGAGATGAAGCAACTCGTTGAATCAGCCTAATCTGTTTTCTTTTGTTTTGATCTGCTTAGCACCATACAGTAATTTAAAATACAGGATTTCATCCACAAAACCGCTGAATTCAAAGTGATATGATCAGTTTCTACTAACTACTGACCAGCGTATACAGTAATAAAGCCCCTTAACTACAATGCATTCCTCAGCCAATCTCATCCCCAAATGTCTGCATAGAGGGGCTCTGCAGTGTTTCTCTGGAAGATTATCAAGTCTAGGCTCTGGCGGACTGGTTTGTTATCAATAAGATAGCCAGGGTTACCTATCATAGATATACTAAAAGGATAGATATACAACAGATTTGATTAGCTTAATGGCAGGTGTATAATGGGCCAAAGTCTACTCAGTTACACCCATTAGTTCAATGAGGTTGCACAGGTAACCAAGGGCCTAACTTAGTCCTGTGTGTTAGTAGGAATCAATTCCTCTATGACATGTGGTGTGGGACTTGAAAGTCTCATTTACTGGTCCAGACCTCTTACACTTACACAGCAGAGTAGAGTAGTAACTAGGACAATAACCTAGGACCCAAGAGATCTGGGTTCTGTTTCCTGACTCTGCCACTGATCAGGTGTGACCGTGGGCAAATCACTTCACTGGGGAGTATTCTTGTTTTAAGATTTTAAGTTCTCTGGGGTATGAACTGTCTCATGTGTTTATATAGCAGGTCCCTGATCTCAGCTGAGACTTCTAGGTGAAATTATAATATATTACACTGCATATGATGGCCGGGGGAAGATATTTTCCTTTGGATCAAGCCAGCAGTGTTATATATTTTAGGAAAGAAAGGCTGAGAATGTTGAGTGACACATCGAGTTCAGGATGTCTATCCCTGGTTAAGAATCTAAGCCTAAGTCACTTAAAGAGTATTACATGTGATTTCTTGGTGATATCACCAACAAATTCTTTATAACATCTCTTTTTAATTATAACGTTATAAGTCACAACCCCTATTCAAGAAGAGGAAATGCTTTCAGTAAAAAACTGCTTGTATGATCATGTTCTTATTTTTGTAAATGTAAATGCTAATTTTAAAGCTACCAATCCAAGGCTTTTGGCCACCTAATACATCACTAATACAATGAAATCCCATCAGCTTTACAGTAATCATTCAGCAACTCAGCCAGCCAGTCACCTACAGGAGCTCCCTCTCTACCCTCCCCCCGTATTGTTGTAGAAGTACACACTCAGAGCCCTCTCCAGAAACCCCATCAAACAAATGCAGAGCACCCAGAGGGTCACCAAATTCAGGCCATTTTGGAACAATGAGGGAGTAAGCTTCAGAATCCTGGGACCCTCATAGAGCATGCCCTGCCAACTACCCCCTCTTTTATAAAAAGGGGGATCCAGCTGACTGCAGTTGTTGCAGTATTCAGATTTAAGAACACACAAAGTAGAGAGACAATTGATGCTCTCTTGGATAGATTATTTCTACCCCAGTTCCCTATGTGTATTTCCAGGGGGCACCCTGACACAAAGTAAGGTAATTTCAAAGCCCAGAATTGATTCCCTTCATTCTCCCTCTTTATACTGTAGCTCTGAATGAAACCATCTGAATTTCCAATCCATGGGTTTAATGGTTTTCCTATAACACTCTGAGGTGGTCCCTTCCATTCCAAGTGACTTATTCTCAGTGGTGATGAAATTTTTTGCAGCGTTACAATTGTAATAGCCTAATAAGGATTCCCACAGTTGTAGAATATGTGCATAGTCCTACAGTGAAAAAGGCTGTATTTACTCTCAACTCAAATTCAAATATGTTTTGAGATCTACAGAGCAATTGTGTTCCTGTAAATGTGATACAAGAAACAGATTGGAATTAAGGTAACCTGATCAAAATTGTTTATTCTGCTGACATGGTCTATGGCAGAGTTGGAATTATAGACCAGATCCTCAACTGGTATAACTGGTATAGTTCTACTTACTTCAATAGAGCTATACACTAATTTACACCAGCCGAGAATCTTGTTTTATTTGTTTATTTTAAACCACATTGAAAGATTGTTTTCCACTCCTTCATACTGGGGACTCAGGGTGACTAAAGGCACAATGTGATGATGTGCCACTCTTAGAAGAAACTTGACCTTTCCCATGATTTGTGTTTTGCCCAGAGTGACAGCTCTTTCCTGCCCTTGACAACACCTCAAAACTTTGAGACAACTGTCAAAACATACCTGATTCTGTCATTTCTGAGCATATCTGCAAAATACAATCCCTAGAATGGACATTTTTAAAGGCTACTTTGAGATCTTAGGTAACTGGTGATGTGAGCTCAGAGAATTGGAGGCAAACACAAACCTCAGAGGCAAACACATTCATTTTCACACTTCCACAGAACAGTGGTTTGAGCATTGGCCTGCTAAACCCAGGGTTGTGAGTTCAATCCTTGAGGGGGCCATTTAGGGATCTGGGGCAAAAATTGGTGATTGGTCCTGCTTTGAGCAGGGGGTTGGACTAGATGACCTCCTGAGGTCCCTTCCAACCCTGGGGGAAAAAACAAAACAACAACAACAACCTGGATAAGGAAATAATAATCTTTACTCTAGTACCTTCAGATAAGAAACTCTTCAGATCAACCATTTAATTGGCAGGACAGTGTCAAGAATTATAGTTATGAAGATGAGCAGTAGAAATTTGTCCCAAACTTGAGCCCTGAAGGAAGGCAGCTGAATTCAAAGGCACTGATCCCATATAGAGCACATTCTGGTAGCAGCAGTGCTTACAGCTGTAGTAGAAATTAGCAGTAGTGGAGCACTATATACAGCAGACAGAGAAGGAACTGCAATCTCTTTTCCAGCTGCAGAAAAATAGCATTGGGGGAAGAAATTAAATGCTAGACAGACCGTTACAAGATCTCCCAAAGGCCTTGCCTATCTGGGCCTGTATTCTAGATTTTACAGTAAAATGATCTCAAGGATTCCAGTGGAAGATTTTTTGAACAACTAAAGCATTTCCCTTTGCAGTCTTTGTAACCCAAACCTTGCTTTATGTTCTGTTATGCTTTAGCACAATGCTGCAGAGTATAAACAAAAGTGAAAGTGACTATACATTTCACTCAGTTTTCATAAAGAAAATAGAAAAGAGTACATGAAATAAGCAATCTCTGAATGCATCCAATGAAGTGAGCTGTAGCTCACGAAAGCTTATGCTCAAATAAATTGGTTAGTCTCTAAGGTGCCACAAGTACTCCTTTTCTTTTTGCGAATACAGATTAACACGCCTGCTACTCTGAAACTGTCCATTTTTAAAAAGTCTCCAGTTTTAATTACCTAAGATGTTATTCATAACAGGTAAGGAATTCTTTTAAACTGAAAGTTCTCCTACGTTTTGCAGTTTTACATACCAGTCTAATCAATTGTTAAACTGCCCATTTTCGTCTATGCAACAATGTGAGTGACATCGGGGTGAGATCCAACAATGTTATTTCCTTTAACTAGCTTTAGGGCTTGCTAACACTTACAGTAACTGCTTATGTAAATTTAATGTGACAGTCTCTTCAAACGCAATCTTACAAATTTCAGAGTAGCAGCCATGTTAGTCTGTATTCGCAAAAAGAAAAGGAGTACTTGTGCCACCTTAGAGACTAACCAATTTATCTGAGCATAAGCTTTCGTGAGCTACAGCTCACTTCATCAGATGCATCCGATGAAGTGAGCTGTAGCTCACGAAAGCTTATGCTCAAATAAATTGGTTAGTCTCTAAGGTGCCACAAGTACTCCTTTAATCTTGCAAATATAATCATAGTTGTGTACTCATGCTTCTAACACTATTAAGTGCTCAGGAGTATTTATTACATCCTTTCATTGGTCAAAACAGAACATTGTCTATCTAGCGCAATTAATTTCATTCCACTATGACTACAGCATTATGAACATGTTTGGCCTAAAGATTTTGGAGACGGCTAGTTAAGTTAGCTTGGGTGTATTAAACAAACAAATAAAAAAAGCCTGACTCATTTTACATGAAGTGCACTGGGGATATAGAGAAGGACTCCAAGTTCTCACAGATCTTCTGATGAAATGTAACCCAACACTGTCCATTAGACTGAAACATTTGGCACTCATGCTGTGTTGGAGTTAACCAAGTCAGTCAATCAGAGAACAAAACCACAGAGAAAATTTAAAGGAGCTCTTAACTAATTTAGGAGCCCAAGTCCCATTAACTTGGTTAGCTAACTAAGCCACATGGGGCAAAACACAAAGCACAGACTTTTGTGTTGAAAATACTGAATACTCAAACTGTTTTCAAGTTTTAGATTTTCCTCCCTCCATGAATAGCTTATGAACAACTTTAAGTGAAATAGATTTGAGCACTTCATAATCTATCTGCAAAATTCAACTAATAAATGATATGTTACAAATTATTTGCTTGTTGCTAGTTTACCCCAAAGCATTTAGAGGGGTAGAACTAGAAAGAATGGAATGAAAACAACAGAAGGGAAATTTAGGCTGAGTCTCAGGGGGGAAAAAAACAAGTGTCCTAATAGCAAAGATCTCGTATGCTATGGAAGAGACTTCCAGAGGAAGTGGTGGATGAAACCTTGTCCAATCTATTTATATAAGTCCCAAGCCAAACACAGAAAAAATCCTGACAGGAACCATCCTGCACTGGTAGTGAGATGGACTAATGGGTCTTTTCCAGCTCTAATTTCTGTTTGTACAGTACACAGCAGTAGAAGCATGGCAGCTGTTTCAGTGTCTGTAAATTGTAACTGTAGACAGACTGTATAATTTGCCCCCCTACATTAAACAAGTATGTTTGTAGCCAAAATATTCTGCATGATATTTCTCCTGCATTGTTTGTTGTAAGCCCCAAGACATCTGCCTCTGTGCTGCACATACTCAATTCTAGCTTTGTTTAAATAACTCTCCACTGTTCCCTGCATATATCTGATCCTAGTGCCACTTCGCTCTAGTGGATGTATCTGAACAAACAGGTTTGATGGCTCAGAACACTTTTGTCCTGGTCAGTTTCTATTCTAAAGCTCCGAGCAAGAATCTCTGGGCAAAATGCCTAACTGTTTGCAGGGCTAGCACAAGGCCCTCCTTAATTTAGGATGGGCTGAAATGACACTTGTGCTGCCTCATAATTGAATCACAGAATATCAGGGTTGGAAGGGACCTCAGGAGATCATCTAGTCCAACCCCCTGCTCAAAGCAGGACCAATCCCCAATTTTTGGCCCAGATCCCAAACGGCCCCCTCAAGGATTGAGCTCACAACCCTGGGTTTAGCAGGCCAATGCTCAAACCACTGAGCTATCCCTCCCCCCTGGGATAGTTGAGGGGGAATCCTAATTCATACGCTCATGGACTTGTCCATGGGACAGGCAAATGGGAGTTTTCCTGGGACTTAGTCTTGCAACATTCCTAGTTCCTTCTCTTTTACCGCATGCAAAGTAATTTTTCAAGCTCAGTTGTTCCCAGTGTTCAGCTGCAATCTGAATACAAAAGGCAGAACTGGCTCAAACTCCCTTTCCCCCAGGCCTCTGCCTGTTTCTAGGACTGAAGTAGGCCTTTTGAAGGTTTGTTTCCAGGTTCCAGATGGAACTGGAAGAAGAAATGGCAAAAGACAGCAGGAGGAAGGGGCGGTTATTAGGATTTTTCACCTGCTCTGAAGTGGGAAACCATGGGAGTCTCCTGAGAAACTATGTTCTTCATTAGTTTCCCAAAGCAGTTCAGATAAGCACCAGCACTTTTGGTTGCTTATATACACAGCAAACCCAAACTCTGAACTGACTGACAATATCCAAATGAGAATAAATCAGCCACCAATTTACAGGGCCTCAAATAGAGACCTTCTGTGGAGTGCTGGTGAATGAGCCAACACCTCATATCCACAGCCCTTAACTTTGAGATGCAGAGAAGGACCCAAGTCATAGTTTGGATCTGGACTTGCTTTAGACACTAAAAATAATGTCCAAGACACCCAGATGTAATTCTAGTACTTAAGGTGGTGAAATCTTGCCAGGAGGAGAGGATCAGGAAGTTATAGTATTTAATATGAACTGAATTTTTAATGTTATGAAATACTTTAAAGGCTAGAATTTTGCTACTAGCACCTTGAGGAATGTAGTGTTATCTCATAGGATGGAACTAAACTAAACTAAACAACTAGTTAAAAAAAAAACCCCAGAGTTATCTCCATCAAACATTTGACAGTTTATGTAATAAGGTAGAAGAGCCAGAGAAGTGTTTCCTATTTCAGGGTTGGCAATATTCAGTTTGGCATCAGTTACATATCTAAGATCCAATATCTCATAATCCTGCAGAGCTAAATAGAGGAGTTTTTCTACAACTGTAAAGGGGAGATCCCCAAACTGTCCAATAGAACATAGAGCACTTGCTTCTAGCCAGCTCTGAGGTACCAGACTTCAAATCATGTCTAGGGAAACCATCTTTAGGAAGTTTTAACAGATTTTTAAATATGTACTGACTATAATTTCTCTCCTTCTGAGTCCTACACAGTTAGACTCAGGGTCAATACTGTGGGAATTTCAGTGGCCATCAGGGACCTCCTCCTCCAGCTGGCAGTAGTATATAAAGCACACGTCATCTTGTTTCAGGAAATACACACTACCATTAACACTCAACAATCAATCCCTGTCTTTGCTGTTGTGTCTCACCTCTATTACAGGCATATTGCCTGCGCCTAGGATGGCATCCTACATCAGGGAAGGCATTCCAGCAACTTCAGTCTCATCATCAGATCCAAATGATATAATCAAATGTCAGGCTATAAAAGTGAAGGACCTGACCCTTATCAATGTCTAGAAACCTCCATCAACCTACTGGCCAACTCCTCTTCTCCCCACCTTCTCGAGACCTTCAGTCTACTGCAGGCAATTTTAACTTACGCCGTTCCCACTGGGGATATGCTGATGACAATGTGGATGGAGTAAAGCTAGAGGAGTGGGTGTTGATGGTCAACCTGCAGCTTCTATATGATCCTAAGCAGCCACCACTTTCCATAGCAACAGATGGACTTTGCCTCTTCTACAATTAGAAGAAGCTATGCAGAGAATGGAAAAGTCAAAATAAAAGCCAGTCTGACTTACCATCATCTGGATAGATTACTTCAGCTAACGTAGAGCATGTCTTCATACACTGCCTGTCAGTGAAGAAGCGATTTCCATTCCCACCAGCACCTCTGTATGCAAATGGTTTACAGCGATCTGTGGTTTTATCATAGTAGAGTCGGATCCCAATCTTGTCTCCATGTAGGCCTTCATCCATTGGCTCATTACATACTGCACCAGGAAACACCAAAATGGAAAGCATGTTACTCACAGATAAAGTCTACCTGGCAATATTTACAATGGCAAGAGGTGCTAGTTTATTCTGGTATAATTTCCCCATTTGGCCTGATAATGTTCTTATTGCTACACTGAAGTGCCATTTTAAGACTGCTGGCCCGGTGTTCTTGCTGAGAGCGACCTCATGGTAGAGTTCTTACCAATGTGTAGCCATTGCCCCAAAGGGTGTACGGGGTGGCACGAGGAAGAATCTGCTGTGGAGAGGCTGCAACGCCATTCCAAAGGCTGCTTCGACCCCACAGCTGCACTGCCAACACATTCCCTTCCCTGAAGGAGTGAAGGCTAGAATATTTAGACTGTCTAAATCATTTTGCTTTGACATTTCTAATGATAAAAAAATAAGCAGAATAACTTTTGTAAATGCATTTTGTAAAAAAGTTTTTTAAAAACCAGACATCATTCAAGCCTTCAGACAGGAAAAAAGGCACTAACTAAATTTCTCCTCTCCCCCCTTTTGGTGGTCACCTTTAGAGACGAAAAGCTATGCCAGTAGCTTCTTTCATGTTAGTTTTTAGAGCCAACCCTGTTAACAAACAGCCAAAAACCAAACAAGCTTTTTATATCTCACTCCAAAGCTAACAAAATACCAATTCACTGTTCTGGCTGGACCACAGCTTGCTTTGAATTTCTGCACCAGTGGAAACTGTTCTACAAGTCTGCAGTTGGGGTAACCTATTTTAACCATCCCGTATTGACTTAAAGCACAGGTTTCTCTGTTATCAGTCTGAACCCAAAAGACTGAGCTGTGAGTAAACTTGGAGTTGGATAAGAGTTAATAGTTATCTGTCTGGTTCCATTTTAAAATATACCGTTAGCTCAGATGATTGGCAGCTGACACCAGTGAGTCACATCAGACAACTTAAAGATATTTTGGAAACAGCTGCAGAGTAGTTTGTTTGCAATCACAAGCAGACTGTTTAGTTTTTTGCTTTTGCTTTGCATTAGAGGAAGAGATGCATAGAAATTAACGAGCAATATTTCCCTGTTCTTTTGGCTTTTTTATTTGAGCATATGATTATAGGACAACTATAGAGCACAAGACTTTGCACAGCAATGTAGACCCTCCAGGAGGAGCCAAGGTTATTTGGGGCCAGATTGTACCCATCCATTGCCTGGTAATGCTAGAGGGGAGGACACAAGGAGACTATATCTGCTCCCTCTAAGGCTATGTCTACACTACTGCGGTAAATTGACCTACTCTATGCAACTCCAGATACATGAATAACGTAGCTGGAGTCGATGTACCTTAGGTCAAGTTACCATGGGGTCTACACCGCAGGGGGTCGATGGGAGAAAATCTCCCATCGACTTACCTTACTCTTCTCGTCGGGAGTAGAGTACAGGGGTTGACTGCAGAGCGATCTGCAGTCAATTTGGCGGGTCTTTACTAGACCCACTAAATCGACCACCGGTGGATCAATCTCAAAGCGTCAGTCTTGGTTGTAGTGTAGACCTGAAAGGGCCAGGCATAGTCAATCTCTGTGCTCTGATTCTATCAGCACAAGCTGACCAGAGGAAGGATGGAATGGGGCAGTGAAATCATTGTCCCACCTCCTTCCTTTTGCACTGGCTAATGGTTCTGGCCAGCTGCAGAGAGGGAAGCACACTGCACCAGTGGGTATTATCTCTAATGTACAGACAGGGAATTGAGGCAGACGTCAAGAGTCAGCGACAATGTTAGGAACTGAAATTCAGAATCCTGCAAGATGAAGATTGTGAGAGTGCAGCCCTGAGCCATCATTCTTCGTCGTGCAGGCCCGGGTCAAACCATAATTGCGTTAAAGACTCAGCTCCTCCTGGATAAAGCTCAGTCTGAACATGACTCTTAGCTACCCATGAGCCACTAACATGAAGCAAGCTGATGGGAACAGGCCCTGCCATTTGACAAGGACCCTATGATCAGCGTAGGTCATGAGGCACTGATTACTGATATTGGTTTGTTGTTACCCTCACACACATTTCTGAGTCAGTGGCCAGCCCTCATTGCTGCTCCTTCTCTCACTTTAATTGCCCACAATGGCTACTCAGGTGCAGGTAAGAGCTGCACTTACCACTGCAGCCCCCTGGATAATAATCCTACCATTGTGAGCAGGGGCAGTGGGATAGAGGCAGAACCTGGGAGCTGGCTGCCAAAGGAAGCCTCCACAGCAGAGAACTAGAGATCGGGGACCAAAAGATGAACAGGGAAGCATCCTGTTGCTGGCACATGGCCAGCACTAGACACAGCAAGAGGATACAGTCCAATGGTCTTGTGACAGCCCTGGCCAAGCTCCCTATGCCAGACGCTCACCAGACTGCTATGTTTGGATATACACGCTGGGCTCATGTGCTTTTAAGCTTCCCTTGGTCTGGCTAGGCTTCTGTACAGTTTCTGGCACAATTCCTGGCCAGTACCTCCTCTGGAAATGGGATCCCATGGCCAAGATGCCCTAGGCCAGTGCTGAACACTCCAAGGCTTCCCAGTAGGTGCCAAGAGAACTATAATACAAACTACCTTCAAGCTAGTCAGTGACGAACCCTCTTGCAGTAAACTAAGGGGGGAGGTGTGACATTCTTTACCTTGGGGGAGCGTGCTGTAACCCCCATATTTCTCATTTTCATATAATCATGATCTTATGTATAAAGCATGCCTTGTAACGGGGAAAGGTTATGACCTGCTGAAAGTCATTTCTCTATCCATATATGTATATCATTAATGCATATGAAGTTATGAGAATTGTGTAGTATGGTTGTCACTAAAACATGCTGTAAATTGGGGGAAATCAACCAGATATTTGCTCCCCAGAGGCAACAGCAAGGAAAGTAACCAATGCTGGGCGGGGTGTCAAACAACTCATCAACAGCCATTGTTCAGCAAGGGAGCTACAATGCAATGACGCACCTGCATGAGGCTACACCAGGGGAATTGCTCAACCTTGCTTCGAGAGACTCAGTAATGCTCACCTGACTCTGGTAGGGCGGGAGGGCAAAGCCAAGAGGAAGGAGAGGACATGATAAAAGGAAAACACATTTGCCATGCTCGTCCTCTCTCTTCCACCTACATCCACAGACACCACACCAAGCAACTGAAGCGCTGATCAAAGGGGAGAGCCTGGCTGAAGAGCAACCAGCCAGCCTGTGGTGAGAAGCATCTAAGTTTGTAGGGGCATTGAAAGTGTTAAGATCAGCTTAGAATGCATTTTAATTTTATTTCATTTGACCAAAGCTGACTTGTTATGTTTTGACTTATAATCACTTAAAATCTATCTTTATAGTTAATACATTTTTTTGTTTATTCTACCTGAAGTGTGTTTGGTTTGAAGTGTGTCAGAGGCTCCCATTGGGATAACAAGCCTGGTACATATCAATTTCTTTGATAAATTGACAAACTTATATAAGCTTGCAGCATCCAGTGGGCATAACTGGACACTGCAACAAGGAGGTTCCTAGGGTTGTGTCTGGGACCGGAGATATTGGCTAGTGTCATTCGGTTGCACAGTCCAAGGAGCAGCTTACATGCCAGAGGCTGTGCATGAACAGCCCAGGAGTGGGGGTTCTCACAGTAGTGCAAGGTAAGGCTGGCTCCCAGAGTCAAGGATTGGAGTGACCTAGCAGATCACCGGTCCAGATAACACCAGAATGGAACATTACACCCACCCTGAAAGAAATCTTTTCTGAATCCCCTCTTCTGGCCCGTAAACTCTCCATGCTCAAGCTCCCCACAGACCAGGACACACCAATTCAAAGCAGCACTGGACACTGCCAGAACAACAGACGCAAAATCTGCAGCCATCTCTCTAGCACTACAATGATCAACACCCGCCGCAGCACACCTTTCAAGATCTATGGGTCCTACACATGCCTATCACAACATGTGGTGAACCACCTCCAGTGCACTAAATGTCCGAAAAGAAACTATGTGGGAGAAGCCAGACAATCACAATGCTCTCAAATAAACTCACACAGGAAAACGATAAAAGACAAAAACATCACATCACCTGTGGGTGAACACTTTTCACAAAGTGATCACTCTATATCTGACCTATCAGTCCCCATCCTCAAAAGGAAACCTGCACAACACTTTCAAGAGATAAGCATGGGAGCTGAAATTCATAACTTTGCTAGACATTAAATATCATCGACTGAATATTGACACTGGATTTATGGCTTATTACAACAATCTATAACCCACTAACAACCCCTCCCGCCCGAACTGCTCCCTCTCTATGACTGGAGAGGTGTTAACAGGCCACTTCACCTTGAAATATGTCTTAACTATTTATGCTAAACAATCTATTCCATCTTGTGTTGAGCTGTGACATTCTGCACAAGGGCTTGTCTATGCTTAAAATGCTGCAGTGGTTCAGCTGCGCCAATGCATCTCTGTGCCACTATAGCACTTCAAGAAAGACGTTACCTATGCCAACGGGAGGGCTTTTCCTGTTGTCATAGGTAATTCACCTCCCCAAGAGGTAGTAGCTATGTCACTCTCCCATCAACACAGTGCTCTCTACACCAGAATTTAGGTCAGCATAACTGCATCACTCAGGAGTGTGGAAAATCCATATTGTCTGGAAACCAAGACTAATAGCAGACTGGTACAAAAACAAGCACTGCACTCTGTATCTTTATATAGAGTCGCATGGGATGGGAAAAAGTGTAGACAAATGGTTAATTATACATATTGCAGCTGATGAGCAATGGGCATATTTAAAACAATCAAGTCAAACATCACATGCAGAACAATCCTACAGCAAAGTAAAAGGTGGCCTCAGATTAAATCTAGAGGAGTATTTTTTTTAAAAAATTGGGCATCATTAGCATAAAATTCTACATGAAAGTATTGCAATTGTACATACAATTCAGTTTGTGATTTCCATCATTTGCTGGTTTGGATGAATATTTTATATATATAACACTTACATCTCCAAAACTGTAAATGAAACTTTACCAAGCTATTGTCAAAAAGAAACCTACTGAAAATCTTAATTTGAGTGTATTTCTTACAAGATAAATGTTAGACAGTATCAGCAACAATGCACTTTTAGTTAAAACTTGACAAGGCTCAAAGTATTTGATGCAGATCTATTATTTTGTAGTCACACAAGTGGCAATATATTGCATCCATGACAATACAATACTGGATTGTAACATTAGGTATATTTTTCAAGCCATCTTTTCCTAAAACTGATAACAACTCATGTCAAAAGAAACAAATCCAAAACCACTTAGCACCCATCCCTAATCTCACTTGAAATAGTCTGCTAGACAGCCATGAAATCATGTTTACTGGAGAGAATAATATTCCTTGTATTTATGTAACACTAGTTAAAGAGGTGATCACAGCATGCTTATACTTGTGAGGGGGAAGATGGAAAGTATATTATGCTATGGATACTGCATAAAAAATGTCAGAGGGCAGGTGAAAAGTAACTTCTGCAAAGGTAATTTGAAGGAGGCAGCATGTAATTTACAGGTGGGGATTTGGCCAGGGCATTGGATTTTTCAATTCCTTCCAAAAAGCTCCATAACCATGTAGTCTATAATGACCAATGGTCAGCGCCTTGGTGTTATACATCATACAAAATACAAAGGTATGTTAAAGAAAGTAGCTCTCTTACCTTCCAATCTTGCTGATGTAAAGAAAACAAGGCAAGTACAAAATAAAACCACAGTGAGCGCAATTCTACAGCTGTTCATTGTGCTTCTGGACTCGCACTCATCCCCCCCTTGCCTTGGAAAACACACTATCTACTGTCCACACTGCTTATCTGAAAGTGCAAAGTTCACTTCAAAGATCAGTCTTTTTGCCAATCATTCATAATGCAACATGCACTAATTATTAATAGCTGGCTAGCTACTGTAAAGCACTCTTAAATTTCTTGACGCATTCCTTCTGATAAATAAAATTGGCCCCCCTCTCTCCTCCCAGCTTGTTTGCTTCACAGTAGACTCTTCTGCCCAGATACACAGAGCCTCATTCACAAAGAGTTTTCTGGGAGAACCTTCATCCCGATCTCGTCATTCATTCTGCTAAGGTGGCAAGAGTCATAGTGACCAAATATACCCTGCACCCTGGAGGACTGAACAATCACTTTTCCAGAGACTGAAGTTATAGCTGCCCATCATGCGCTGGCTGATAGGAATAACAGAAGTTACTGCTGAAAACTCACCCAGTTGAGAACTGGGTTTTGGAAGAGAGCAATACTATAGGTCTATTGATTCCTCAAGCTACTGGTCCTCCACTAGAAACCAAATGCAAGATTCAAATTGAATCTACTGGAATTCCTATTAAAAGTCAGTTCCATTTGTAATTGCTCTTCACCCCCTCTGGAATTATGTTTCTGGGCTTCTCTTGTGTGGCTGCGAGATGTGAAGCAACAGGATAAGAGTGGCAGCAGCTGAAACTGAGACAGAGAGGGTTTGAAGACAAAAGACTGTGGAATGCTTTGACCAGGGGAACCTATTGTCTCACAAAAGCATGTGCCTCCCAGCTTCTCCCTTCCCTAGCTGGCTGTGCCCATTGAACTCAATGGTGTATGCTCAGATGTAACTGAGGGCAAAATTCAGCCCCTGAAGTTTTGAGATATTTGGATTCAGGGCTTTGGTTTAGTCCTCCCTCTATTTACTAGAGCTATAGCCCCATATATTTGGGCTGCTCTCTCAAGCAAGCTCATCTCTCATCCAGAATACTGCAAGATTTAATTAGGCCCCAAGCCTACATTTGGCACATAACAAAAGGAACTGATGCTTTCTGATACCTGGCTGAAAAGTGCAGTAGGAGTCCTAGGTATTACTGTAGTTATGAGCTCTATTGCTCTCACCCCCTTGAATGCCAATTTGTTGCTTTCCACAATAAAGCTGCAGGCTGAAAAGCAGCAGTAGCAATTCAGCGGGAGAGCTATTCCTCCTACATCAGTGATTAAAGGAAGAGCTTGTATGTTTACATGAAACAGATATCAGATCTTGTTCCTGCCAGATCCTGGGTCACTTGTGAGAAGCGCCTGTAACCAGCACTGCAGCCAGACCCAACGAGAGCTTGGTTGGTATGATGACCAGTAAACAGGTTTTCACCTGCCAGTGCACATTGTTCCAAGAAGAGGGCATTTCTAGCACTAAAGGCAAAGGGTGCACGCTGAAGGCTGCAGCTACTAGGGTTAGTTCCTGAAGGATACATCTGCTTCACTTGTCAGGCAACAAAAATTGTTATCATCCTGCACTAGGCTGGATATGATTCTTCCAAGGATGTTAGACAACAACTTCCTTTATTGCCTATTAATTCATAAATGCAATTCTGAACAGGGTGAGAGACATTAAGGAAATCAGTGTCAAGGCAACAAGGAACTCACTCAACACAAAAATACCCCACATAAAATCCTGTCAACAGGAACAGTCTAGTTCAGGGGCAGGCAAACTTTTTGGCCTGAGGGCCGCATCAGGTTTTGGAAATTGTATGCAGGGCCAGTTAGGGGAGGGGGGCGTGGTTCCCCCCCATCCCCCCCCACTTCTGGCCCCTGATGGCCGCCCCCAGACTCCTGCCCCATCCAAACACCCCCTGTTCCCTGATGGCCCCCGTGAGACCCCTGCCCCATCCACACACCCCCGCTCCCTGTCCCCTGACTGTCCCTGGAACCCCCACTCCTGATTGCCTCCCATTGCCCCATCCAACCCCTCCTCTCCTTCCTGACTGCCCCCCCAGGACCCCTGCCCCATCCACCACCCCTTCTCCCTGTCCCCTAACTGCCCCCCCCCGGGACCCTCACCCCTGCCTGCCCCCCGCCGCCCCATCTAACCCCCCCACTTCTTCCTGACTGCCCCCACTGGGATCCCTGCCCCCATTCAACCCCCCTGTTCCCCGCCCTCTGACCGCCCCGACCCCTATCCACACCCCCACCCCCTGACCACCACCCTGAACTCCCCTGCCCTCTATCCAACCACCCCTCTCACCACACTGCCTGGAGCACTGGTGGCTGGCCACGCACCACGCAGCACAGAGCACCGGGTGAGCCGGGCTCTGCAGCTGCGCTGCCCCAGGAGCTCGCTGCCCCGCCGCCCAGAGCATTGCACCGGCAGCGCAGTGAGCTGAGGCTGCGGGGAGGGAGAACAGCGGGGGAGGAGCCGGGGGCTAGCCTCCCAGGCCAGGGGCTCAGAGGCCGAGCAGGAGGGTCCCGCGGGCCGGATGTGGCCCGTGGGCCGTACTTGCCCACCTCTGTTCTAGTTTAACAATGGACTGCCCCCTCTAGTTCATTCATTCAAAGATGAAGAGAACAAAAATGGAAGGTTTACACAAACTATTTAATCTTTAAAACTAAACATGCTGCAGAGGTGGGGGTAATAGGCATTGGCACTAGCCTTACACCAGAGTTTATGTTCCAATATAGATCAAGTGTAGACTCAGCCTAATCCCTCTGTTTATGCACCCAACAGAATTTACCAGCCAACTGGGATAGCGGAGTGACATCTTGTGTCTTCTCAAGAGAGACTCAAGAGCCACATAAAAAAGTAGCTCAGAACTGAGAAACCTGGACAAAGCTGGGACCAAGACTGGCACAGCACCCACCTGCACTATGCCTCATTGCTATTAGTTTCATTTTAATGTGCACTAGTCTCAACATTTTATGAAGCAAACATCCCATAGGATACCACTAGGTGTCACTATGAACCAGAGTGGTTTTGATATTTCAGAAGCTGAATTAATTCCTTCTTTTGGTTCTAGCTGATCTTTTTGTTTCTGTTCTGTTTCCAGTATGCACAGTACCTAATAGAAAATCTGTTCAGCTGTTTGCTTTTGCCACTTAGCCATACGATCAGTACAATTCTTTTACGGGTACATATCCATGGAACTTTGATATTGCTCATGTCAAAGGATTTTCGCCTCCATTTCAATCCCACTTAATTTTTAAAGTTAAAGACGCATTTTTCAGTCAAGCCATTTCAAAGTTTGCAATATGCAAACTCTTACTGTCTTAGACAAGTCGCCCAACGCTTGTCCTTAAAATCAGAATGACTCCTCCCCACAATTCCATCGTGATGCATCTTCTTGTGCTTTTCATGGGTGAGGTGTGCCATACATTCACCATGGGCACTGTGCTTGCAGGATGATTAAAGGAAAAATGAAGGTCCAAGCCACCCATCTCCCATTAAGATAAATGAAAAAGACTCCCAGTGACTGCTGTATAAGGCACTTAAGCTTCACTCCTAGAAATCCAGTTTGGCTAGGAGGTCAATAAGAAACCACATTAATAAAAGCAGGTTCTCAATAAACAGCCTTATTTCTTCAGGCTTTCGAGTGGGCTGGCTACCATGGAACTGCAGACCGGTCCAAAAAGAGAGCTCCAAAGTGGGTCAGTTGCTGTCAAGGGGTCATATGAATAACACTATCCAAAGCCTAATGTTCTTATAAACTAATGAAATTACCTCATTGACCAATGATCAGGCATTTTGGAGACCATTTTAATATCCAGATCCCCAATTTAATTCCTTGCTAGAATGGATTCCTCACACATAGAGATAACCTTTCATCTGATTATTACTTACTTGGGACCATGTGACAACTTTCCAAGAAAAGCATTTAAGGAGCTAAATATGAAGAAAATCACCAAGATACAGTAAGTCATTCATAGTAAATAGCAGCATAACATCTGTTCCATGAGAAAACCAAGATGTGGCAAACTACAGGGGTTGTGGCTATGGGAGCGACATAATCCACAGATGACTTGTTTGGGGACACTCTGTAACACCATGCTCCATAACAGGGGCCTACGGGTCAAGATGGGCATAAAGATGCAGAGAATATTTCTGAGCCCTGCAATCTGAAATTGCTGTGAGTGTGTGGGCCTCAAATCATACACTCTTCTCCCACTTATTTCCACCCAAGTCCATCAAGCGCTTGATATCATACACGAAGGTGTGTATGGCTGGTAAGGTAATGGCAAGTTACTGCAGTGATGTGCAGTCTTTTCTGCAGAAAAAGAATGTTGTTTCCAGGCTCTCCCACAACTCCTCCTGCATTTCCACAAACCACACCTCCCCAGTGCCATTTTTCAGTTGTAATTGTGTGGCATCCATCCAAGGAGGAATTTTGAGAAGCACTTGGGCTTTCAAGGCTGTATGTGATAGAAAGCTGCTCTGCTCTTCCGTCTGCACATACAACTAGAGAAAAATACTCCCCCCACAGTTACTTTTCTGTATGCTACACAATACCTAGCAGGTCTTACCATTTTTATTCTCTCTAGAATGCACTTTGCCATTGGGCAACTGTCAATTTTCAGCTTAACTTCTACCCAAGCCAGAACCAAAGTAGAACTTTCTCAGATTTCAGCTGGGAGTTGGCGGGGAGGGGCCATGGATGAATTTGGATCCGAACCTCCAACATCTGATCTGAATTTTATGGGCATATCATTATAATGGGACCAGATCCTGCCACTGAGTTGTACTTAAGTCTCCCCTTGTCTTCAGTGAACCAACAGCAATTTATGGTCTAATGTGAGAGTCTGGAAAGTTCAAGCTATGCCATCTCATGTTCACATTTAAATTTATATAGCACTCTAGTAACACCCTGCTATATAGTAAATACGTGGGGATCTTGCCTTGA